ACATTTGCTTCTGAACTTTCCGACGTTGTTTAAGTTGATGACATATTCTGTTCGGAATCATAGGTTTCAAAAAATGTTGGTGTTTAATTTTTAGGTAAAAAGTTACATGAAACATTTTTGGAAAACTGAAGTATCATTGAACCGCATATGTAGAAAAGGCCACATGCACAGACACCAACAGACAGCAAAATAACGAACTTAGACCATTTATTTTGAATTCTGATATACAGGTTATCAGATTAACGGTCGGACATAATGAATCCGGGTTAGTCTGCTGGGTTTTTCATTTTTTTTTATTTGGCCTTAGATGACCGTTGGAGCTTGAACATACGGTGGCTGAGACTTTTGATATTTGGCCGTTAGAACTGGTGTCTTTGGTTTACATTGGTAATCGTAGTGACTCGAAAGATCATATTCCTCATCGCAAGAAGGTTTACTTCACTGAGTGGTTTCCGCATTTTATAGTGTCCTACAACGATCTGCAACCACTGGCAGACTCCCACTACTAAAGACAAGAACATTTTTGCTTTGTTTATGGACAGTTTTATTTAATCAAGCCATGGGCCGGCCGAAACAGTGCTTGTTCATTCCTTCGAATATTGAAAATATTTTGCAGACAGCAGTGTAGGAATCCGTCAATGCAAACTTTCTGACTCTTTGGAACAGCAAGCTAATTAATTAATGCCAATGGAAAAAGGTTTACAGTTAACAACACAGTGATTTTTCGGCAGGTTCCATAAGAAAGTTTTAGATTTAGCTCGCTTCCCGGGACGATTTTTTATATATTATTGCAAATTATTAGTCTATTGAATCATTTTTCTACGTTGCTGTTGTCGAAAACATGCGGTTCGATCGTCAGGGATCTCGAAGGACTTCCCTACTGGTCCATCTTCACCTTTCGTCATCATTACGCAGAGCCATACGTGTAAACATAAAAACTGTTTTCCGTGAAGCAGCAGCAACAAAATCACTTGGATCGCTTGGAAGGGTAGGCCATCAGTGACGTTATACATTTTTTGTTTCATACTCTTCTTTGCGGGAATCTGGAGCGGGTGTCGAACAGGATGATGTTTGTGAATTAGCTGCTGTTCGCTTCCTTAAGCTGGTTAATGTAACGGATGCTGATGCCCTGTTCTGCCAGTACATTTCACACTGAGTTGTACTCAACAGAGTCGTGATGATCGACAGATAAAGGTGCTAACTCTCCTCCGTATTGTATGAGGCCTATGCAATCGTCTCTAATTTTTACAACTGGAAACTCTCGAACTCCTCCTTCAGCTTCCATCTAATGAGCTAGCATAGAGAATGGTACTCCATCATGTTGATCCTATATCCTATCTCTTTTCCTACTCCTCCGCTTCTTTAGCAAACTCTGTTTCTTTCTTCGTAGGTCCTTCTTTTCATTCCTTTCGACGTTAACTTCTCTGCAGAATTTATGCAGCTTCTAAGTTTCTCACCGAAGTTCTCGTAGTCGTCATTGCAGCTGTATCTGAACCTCAGTCATTGCTGGAGATGCGCGCTTGGAACACCTACTTGTAGACTACCTTCAATCGTTGTCTCAGATTTGCGAGTTTGCGACTGTAGTACCCTCGTCCCAGTCGCCTTCTCGACCATGACAGTTAGATCATATTCTGTGGTCAATGCCAGTGTTAAATGATGGCAGTATTGCTATATCTCGGATGATGCGGAATTAGAACAGGACGAAGTCGCTCTCATTCTTTGTCGCCACGTTGGGTGCGACCCATGTCCACCATATGTTCGTATTTTTGAACCAGGCGTTGCCAATCTACATTTGTTTTGGTCCTGTCAAGGTGACCAGCGGACTTCCTAGCTCATTTCGTTCTTCAATGTCGTTAACTACTGGCGAACGTGTCATCGGCCCTCCATCCTGCGATCTTGGAAGTAAAATCTCCAATGAAGAAAGTGCACATGGACTTTGGGACCAGTGCCCTTTCCAATTGTTAATGGAATTCTTTCATTTCCTCCTCGTCCGCTTTACTTGTGGAAGCAGAGGATTGGACGATCTTCAAGCTCCTTTTCTTTTTCAGGAGGCAAAACATGTTTGTGACTTCACATGCAGGCGACGATTTGGGAGAACCAGCTTTTGTCGACTACAAAATCGATTCCTCCTGCTCTTTTAGCCCTTACCTCTTCTTAGTCAAATCGAGCTACCATCTTTTCAGCTGCAAATAATCTATCGCCGGGTCTCGCAGAGGCAAAGAATACCGTAGGCCATACTTGACCTTCCCTCCATTAGTTAATTTAACGTTTTCACCTACAATTGTAGTACACTGGCAAAGTAAGTTCGGGTTCACCAATCAGATGGCAGCCTTTCCCCGGGGACTTTTAGTAACCATTCATCGGTCGAGCACTGAACCGCCGTCGTAGAGCAGATCAACAGACGCGCAACGTATTGAAGCCCATTGTCCTGACGGCTGAAATATTGCCACCCACTAGCCGGATTCGGTCTATGACGATTCGGCTCGGCCGTTTCAGCGCCGATCGATAGTCGTTATTAACTTACAGCCCTCTAGCACGGATTTGAATATATACCATTAGGCTGTGGCAAACTTGGTCAACTGCAACATCCAGAGCCATGAGAAGCTCTCCGTGAGCACAATGTGAAACTTCTATCAACGTAATAATGATTTACATATTGCGTAAAATATTTTGCTATATAAATAAAGTTACCTCATATATGAGCTCGTTGTGCTTCCATAAAAGTTAGACGTTAAACTAAATTATGCTGACAAATTTAAATTTTGTGAAATAATTGGGCAACAATTATCCGTTCGAACTGAACTTTTGAAAGAAACACTGAATAAAAATGTTCTCGCACGTTCTTGCATAGGTATAGCGGGATTCGTGGTATGAGACAGAAATATTGGAAATTGATAAATTTGACAATGGATTCGTACCGTGCTAAGTGAGTTTCTCACTGATATGCAACAAGATAATATACGTCGCAAAAATCATCAAGTTAGGAATAACGAAACTGCATAATTCGAAATTAATAAACTTGCTTAATCTCACCGTCATGAAACAAAACTGCAATTTACTACTTTGACAAATTCTTAGCACTGCACTCACTAATAATAAAATTTAAGGTTGTGCTAACGGAGAGCTCGTCATGGATATATGATACGGTGGGTTAGATATAGCAGTTCATTGCGATGCTACATTATAATTACATAGATTTAAACTCACGCCTTAGTACTGCACCTTAACACGACTATCAGTCGGTGCCGAATCGTCAATGACCTAGTCGGACTGACGATGGCTAGGGGAATTTTGTTTTAATTTCAAGAAGGGCCCAAAGATTTCGTCCGGCTTTTTATTGACGTTGTATCTTCTATCCTTTAACGAACTGACGTATAACCGCATGGCAGCGATGACGTTGACGGCCTATTTCCAACAAAGGACCGGTCGTTTTCGCCTAAACATAAGACTGTCATTGAATAGTCTGAGGATTGAACTTGTCGAGTCCGAACCAAGCTATGAGCTGGTGGTCTAACTGCTGCCTTTCTGCGGTTACTTGTTTGTAGCTGCTAGGCTATATATTTGGACGTCCTTTCCATATGGACAACCGCAGCATCCGCCAAATCGTTATTGGTTACGCACACTTGCAGTGAGTATATATACAGAAACAAGAAACATATTTTACCTGATGCCGTTTCGCAAAGTCTTCAACAAAAATCACCTGTCTTTCACTGGTGCCGAAGCCAAAGCGCCAGACGCAATTAACCTGGGTATTCAGTCCTTTACCCTGATACTCCATACAACAGTCGTGATGTCAGTTTCGGAAATAACGTAACGCGATACGCTCAAACTTTATGGTATCGGAGGCTCGTTTTTTAAACTCTCCTTCTGACGGCCAGTTTGCCACTCACGCTTCCTTTGATATACCAAGGGGCTGAGGAACTTTCTGCTGACCTTGCAGTTTAAATATGAATAGCAATCGGTTATCTCATTAAAACACCATCTTGCTAAATGATAAACCATTGTAGAGCCAGCATTGCAAGTAAAGTTGGTACTGAATCCGGTATGATGTTGAACTCTATTTAACATAATTAAACTTCAATCATACCTTCAGCGATCAAGAGCTCTTCAAATACTTAGTATTGCACACCAAAAAATACCGTCTCCAATATTATCAGTGTATTACTGTATTACCACCTTCTTACTAGATATATTTCACAGCACGTAAAGAATTTCCACAATCCTGGATAATGTAAGATTGGGTTCTGCTTCATTAAATTGGAAATTTTCTCACCGACGACGAAATCTCATGATCTTCGAATTTCTGCGGTTATTCACTTCAGCACCCATACAAGAGTCAATAATCACAATGCACAAATGCGTTTTACAAGACCATGCATTTGTTTTTGACATTGACTAAATTGCAGAGCAAAGTACAAAGCATTACGTCAACATGTTAAATGGATGAGGCGAAAAAACTCAAATTCTCATTCCACCTAAAACAGTTTATTACAGAGGGTGAACAACATGTTAATAACTCGAATGTAGATTTCAGCAGTCCTTCCGGCAGCACTAAGGATTATTTTAATTCCGTTGGTGCACTTGGCAACTGTTCCGCCTTGGCTTATACGTTGACAGTGAACGAGTGGCCTTGCAGATATACCGCCACGAAATCAGATCGGAACAGAACTCATGCTAACAAAGTAGACATATCTAAGGTTGCTTTAGCCGGCCACTCTTCCAGGTTCTTAGTAAGCGATTTCATTGCTGCCCTAACGGCTCAACAGACGACATACAAATGACGTAAATCCATAGGCGCACTTTAAACAGCATAGAACAAATTAGCACACCAAAGACAAAGAAACCAACCAAGCATAAAAATTACGCGAACGTACAATAGATTTGTCCTATTTACGTTAAATACTAAAATAATGCAACAAATATGTATGAAATGCGTGAAAAACTCGCTTAAAAACCTACTTCATTCATTTTCAGCAAAGCAGGCAAAATCATTCAAAATATTATTTTTGATCACTAGAAGGTTGAGCCTCAGAAGAGGGAGAGACTGTTCCTGTCGCAAGATCCACATTCCGATAACCAGCAGTGACTGATGTCGTTCTGAAAGAAGGCAGCGTTTCCCAAGGACTGTCGAGATCAAACTTTCGGAATTCCTGCATTAATTCAACAGGTTCCGAAATGATTCGCCTTAATTCTGCGTCATATCGAACCTAAAACGAAAATAAATAAAAATTCCAGGCACAAAAAATAACCAAAGTAGTTTAGTCACCTCCGTATAGCCACTAAGAGGAAAATCTTTTCTTAGCGGATGACCTTCAAATCCGTAGTCGGTCAGAATTCGTCGCAAGTCAGGATGGTTGTTGAACACTACGCCGTACATATCGTAAACCTGAACCACGTTCGATACACATGCCAGTTTTCAATCTTCGCCTTACCTCCCGTTCGTACCAGTTGGCTCCTTGAAACACAGACGTGATGGATTCAAGAGGAGTGAGTTCGTCAGTGTAAGTTCGAACTCTTACACGAGCATTGTAGCGAAGGGACAACAGACCATACACTACCTACATAGACAAATAAATCATTAAATGAAAGCTCTGTTTGGCCTTATTATTTAAGCTATTTGTCTTTTTTGACTTTCTATATGGCAGAAAACTATTCATGGGACACCATGGACGAAAAACTCACTTTCTGACTCCACACATATGAATTGATGCAGACGAACACAAAGACTTCTGAAACTCATTCACCTCTTTACCTTGAAAACGACCCATGAGACACCAACTGAAACGCTGGTACTGGTGCTTCATCCGACTTATCAAGTCATTTACGCTGTGTACAAATACCCGTGCTTTGTGCTGCATTCAAAATCACCCCAATCGTACTAACCAAATACTCAATCTTCACAAAGAATAGTACAAACGAAAATATAAAAGGTACCACCGAATAGCAGCTGAATTACGGAATTTTCAAGCACGATAGTAGCAGCTGCACTACAGGTGAGAACTGAGTGCCTCAAAGGCGCTGAATTATTGTCGCTTCTTTCTTCACCGGTTTCGAATTTTTTTATTTCCCTTCGTCCTGTACCTGAACACATATTCTTACGTGCATTAGTGCTGTGTCGCCACCATCCTTCCTTTCTTCAATGATTCTGTCAGTTTCTCCAATGCAGTTAATTCCCATGGTAGAGTGTAATATTAAGATAAGACACGCTTAGAAGCCTGCAATAAAACTCTTTAATAAGCGAAGCTTTCGGAACTCAGAACAGTGTTGCTTCTTCAGCACAAAATATAATATACTGTGAAGACATCTAATCACAGAGATCAGCAATTTTTCACTTAAAGTACTGTAACCGATAAAAATAAGAAAAACAAAGGAAAATGAGGTGACAGAGAAAAATGTAAATGAGAATGAAAAATACAGAGAGAATAAACAGTAGAAAATTAAATCACTAAGGAAGAGGTTTCAACTAGTGGATAGATCCTTGAGGCTTAATTCATAATGGGCAGCACGAAAATACTACGAAAATGGGCAGCACGAAAATTCATAATTCATTATGGGCAGCACGAAAATACACGGGCAGCACGAAAAGCTTTAATGAAGGCCGATTTCCATATGATGAAAACAGCAGTGGTAAAGTCTGGATCCAAAGTTCTTCACAGCCTTTGCACTAATACGATGCAATATATAAATACTATTAAATGCACCGTATTTCTTTTCCTTTTACTTTCCCTTTCTCTTCACTTTAAATTGCTTTTCATATTTGTCTTAGTTACAATACTTTAAATGTAAACCTGCCGGTCTCTGACGATTAGGCGCCAATCGACAGTCCTTATCAACATGCAAAGTGTCCGACTGTAGTAAAGAACCCGTAGTATTACATACCCATGAGAATCTCTCCGTGAGGGCAATGTGAAACTTCTGCCAAACTAACGAATTTGTAAGACTTCGCGTTTTATTTTATGATTCCATTTTTCTACCTTCACCGGTGAAGCGGAAGAAATATTGAGATGTGGACGAAAGGATAAAGTCCACTGTGAATGACTATTATAAGAGACATTAATACTTACAATTCGTGGCTTAGCGCATAATTACGAAATGGCACAATGATGTCATATATTGCATATAAATTTTGGTATATAAATAAAGTTGTTTCGTATAGTTGTTCTTCCACGAATAGTTGACTTTAAACTAAATTATATTTTGTGAAATAATTGGGAAATTTGACAACTAATCTGACAGACGTTTCGCTGTTGTTGACGACTGAGAGACTAATCTATAAATAATGAACATCTGCTGGTGAACAAAATCCTACAATCTTAGAAATTCGTTAGTTTGACAGAAATTTAACATTTTGCCTAATGAACTTCTCACAGAGCTCTAATGTTTCTCACAGATATACAACTTAGGTAGATCGGACATGATTGTTGATCGAGATTACCACAGTCCAATCATATAGAGTCAAACTCATTGCACAATGATGGTGACCATCGATCGACGTCGAAAGGGTCTGACGCCGAATCGTCTGATTCCGTAAACTTGCTACCCTCTATGACTATGATATCTCTACCGTATAATATATTTTGTGCTACAGGAGTAACTTTCTGGGTTCTGAAAGCTTCACTTATTAAAATGTTTTATTTCAGCCATCTAACCGTGTCTTATCTTAATCTATTGATCTAAAAGTCTGTATATGTCTTTTCGAGGTGCGGGTCTAGTTTCATTGGCGAAAAATAGATCGAATGTTTTTCACATGCATTAGCTGGCTGCTCAACGTTTTGGGCCTGAATAATACCTGCGTAATCGACATTTTCTGACGATCATTTGCAATTCGTCGCTAAGAACATGCATGGATTAAAAAATGATGTTGGCGGTAAACTTCCGTTCCCTTTTTTTTCTAGCTCTTTTATACTTTGTTAGCTGATACCTGCTTCTGCCATCCGACGTTCAAAGTAACAAATATTTAGTACTTTCGGAACGCAAGCCAGCTCTTTTCAAATACCGTCGTTCTCTGTGCTAAACTTAAGATTCTCCTGGCCAGCCTGCTGGCGATGTCTTTTTGACACATGACATGATGTGAATCG